CCTTTGGGAAGGTGAGCAAACTTTATTCCCCGTAATCGATGTAAGACGTGTAGGAATTGTGAACAAAAGTTACAGTTTAAATATACCTGAAGGAGTGATATTGCATTGTAAGTGTACATATTTCGCAGAGAAATGCAGAGATGGTTAAATCCGATCGAAACGTGATGTCAGTTTTCAGCGTAAGCCCATTCTCAGTACTGAAAATGCAATTTGTATCTTTCGGGAATGTTTTAACTTTAACTATTTGTCACATTTGCATAACGTCTGACGAAAAAAAGGGACACCATCGTTAAAAATGTACGAAATAGCGTTTGCTAAATTTCCCAAAGGACTCATTTTTCTTCGAATTATGTTCACATCAAAAAATTTAACTGTAAATCAAATTCACTCCTTTAGTGCTGTACGCAATTGATGATTGCGCACCAAGACTTACAACCTTGGTCTCAAGCATATGAAACTTAAAAAAACATGATTTGCGAGGCTGCAAATATGTTTAGTTATGACCCGTTTGGACCGCAATCGAATTGACCTGAATAGCGAGAGGAATTGGTCAGTTAGTAAATGTTTCAGCTAGGTTTGCGAAAGACTGCGATGTGAAGAGTAGCCATCCATGGATTATAGCCGTTCCAGTCTGAGCTGTGATTCTTCTCCATTTTCGCCCGTGTCCGCGAGGTCACGTAAACGGCTTCCAGAATTTCTAATCTGCACGATGCCTCAGTAATATATTCGTTAATCAGCAAAACAATCAGCAGTATTCTTAAGAGAACTCTTTTTTGACTAGACTGCTACGACTTATTTTTGATTCTCGAACGTCAGACAAAATAAAAATTAACCTTCACGTCAGCTCTACTAGACAGCAACCGACATTCTTCGTTGGGGCATTCTGAACAATTAGTGAGTAGAAAAACGGAAATAAATCCAGTCATTTACACATTTAAATCGATGAAAAAATGTCATCTTTACAGACGTAAATTTTCATAAGGGCAGCGGAAAGTGTCGTGAATGAAACTGCGATTGGGAAATGAAAATGTAAACAAATACGTGCTGACGTTTTTCTTATGCAGGTGCAAATGTTTAAATTAAAACGGATAAAAACAGCAAAGTAGGACGACCTTCTGGCAACCCATATATCTTTTGTTTTTTACGTTCTTTGCTGGGTCAAACGGTAATATTCGCAAAATACCCTTTCAAAAAACCGTCCTATCGTAAATATACTTTTAACATTTTACGATTAAGAGATAAACCATTCAAAATTATTTAATTTGTGTAAACGGCAAATATGCAGCAGAGACAAAAATATCTACGAAAAATACAGTACCTGTGCTAACTCATGAAATGCTTAGGTCAAAATTATAGTGGACGATGTAGTGTATTTTTGGTGTCGTTATTTGTGTTTATTTGGTTGAAATAAGGACGAAAAGACCGTTTTCTGAAGGAAAGTTTGATACGGATCTGTCTATTAAATAGAAAACGGGCCGGATTAAGGCGAAATCGGAGGATTCCTGATATTCAAGCAGTCTCCTACGCTATTAAAGCTTTCGGATGGAAATTCTTTGTGTAACCTTATTAATCTGTTTGAGAAGATTAATAAAAGGACGAAATTTTTTGATAAACTTTCGAACAAAAAGAAAAAATTAAATTTCAATATCAACAAAATCAGGGAAATGCAGATAAATTATTTCTTATTGTGTTCAGGAAATAACGTGCGATTCTTTATCTAAAAATTCTATTTTACAAATTTGTAATGGTTTATGTTTCAAAATACCGAAATAAAAAAGTTTATCAGTGTGAATGTTTTACCAGACTGAAAATGCGTGTCGTAAACGAATATATATTGAGTTCGCGCGACATGCCGTCACTTTGCTCTGCCACGCCAAACGATAACTATGTCTAAACAATACCTATAAGAAGTTGACTTCCAGAGCATTCGAAAATTAGCGGCGGAAGGAATTCCGCGTGAGTCGTTAGCTAATATTTTCAATATTAGCAAGGTCACTCTATGGCGCATTATTAATGATAAAACTGTTCCTAGAAATAAGATAGGGGGACCAAAACGGTCCTCAAGTAAGCAAGACGACGATTTTATTCGTCGTACATTAAAAAAGTTTCATTACATGGCCATTGAGACCATTCAACGGGAACATCTGCCGATGTTTTCTACGAACGTCATTAGAAAAAGGATGAAGGAATTTAAACTGCAGCGGCGGAAGGCCATGATTAAGCCATATTTAAGTAGAAAATTAATTAGAGAACGGCTTTTATTTGCTAAGAATTATATTGAATACAGATCTTCATTTTGGAAGAGCATTTTCTTCTGCGATGAGGTTCTTTTTTTAGACAAGCCTACGAAGTCGCTCCAAACTGTCATATGTGGAAAGAACTTCCCAAGAGAACATACTACGCCGACGGCAACATTCAAGAACTGTCGGCGGATGATGGTTTGGATGGCGATTAAATTCGGTGAGCGGCCTGTCTGGCGGTCAACATCCGACACCATCAACAGCAAGGTGTTCATTGCAATTGTCAAGGATGCTTTCGGCTACAACGGCATAAGTCGGCGCCGAATGGATACTGTAATTTTGCAGGACAATGCACCTGTCCACCGCTCTAAAGAGGTACAAATTTGATGCCGCTTGCAAACATAATCTAACATTTTAGACAACAACCACGCTCTCCGCAATTGGCCTCCAATCCATTTTCATCCCGGCCAACAGTCCCGACCTTAATCCAATCGAAAATCTTTTTGGAATAGTCAAAATAAATTGGCACAAAGCTAAGAAGACTCTTTCAATGCAGGAAAAATTGGATTTCATACTCAATAATTACATTTTACAATTCACCATAGATAACCTTGTCGTGTCTATGTCAGACAGACTTTCTGCTGTTATTAATTCGAATGGACAATCTACAAAGTACTAATTTTTTGTATCTGTTTCTGTCCTTAATTATTTTTGACCTTTTATGCGCCCTCCTCCTTTATACGTCCTCATACGTAGCCTTTATTAACTTGGTTGTAATATAGGCGTTTCTCGAAAATGTGACTTTTGTCGAAAATTATTTATTTTTATCTCAGTAAATAATATTTTCTTAACCAAACTTTGCTTTATTTCTTTGGCACATCGTTTATTTTCCGCTGTCAGACTTTGGGAGCCGTAGTGTTTACCGATTTTGCGTTAAAGGCGTTAACCTGTGTTAATTCGTGACATTTCATGAGTTAGCACAGGTACTGTATGTACAAAGGTACATCATTTGACGGCTTTCAATGATTGGCGAAGCATGTGGTGTCTGTCTGCATCGTTAATAATCTACGCCCTACCGTACACTCTGGCAATATGTGGGTTTATGCAACATGGGACCAATTGCTAACGTTAATGTGTATAAATTACGAGTTCTTTCACTAGCCTTCTGCTGAAAAACATGTCGGGCAAAGAAGTCGTCTTGACGTCGATGGTTTTGATGCTGTTGTATGCAGGCAGTGGCATCGCAAATGTTCTGTGTAAGTATTTTTTAAACAACGTAGCATGTGCTTGTTTATATTTGCTTTCTCTTTAGAAATTAACGGACCGAGTTTTTCATACCTAGCATCAACAATTTCATGTTCAATGTATCTGCCATAAATCTGCAATGAGTAAAGTAGAAATCGTCCATGTATGTTGTTGAAAATCTATGAAATGGGAATCTCCGTCCTTGCTGCGTGACTTATGGGATGCCGTGTTGTTTGAATCAGCATAACGAAAAGTGGGCCTGCTCTTCACGCTGTGTTTAATCAAGCAGGAAACGGTTGTTCAAACTAATTGATATCCTATCGGTTTTAGCTATAAGGCGGCCTCCGTCTTCTCCAGTAGACAAGAAAAGACACATCTGCAACAATATCACAATAAAAATAGTTTACTGTATGTCAGCGCACTAACTAGTACATGTTCGAAGATGTGTGTATGTAAAAAAAACCTACATAACATTTGTAAGTTGTGTGATCATATGTGATTAGTCACGGGCTTTTGAATGTTTAAGACTGCGAATGTAACTGGTAAGTAGGAAGCGTGATAAAGGCCTACTTTGATCATGTATGAATGTGCACTTCAGGGGCAAACAAAGTCGGTGGGCAGGGAGCGCCCTTCTGCAACCACCCTGGTACTGAAGAAAAACTTGCGTTTGCCAATGCCAGCTGTCCCCGATCATAATTTACTGATTAGAGCACACATTTGCGGGCATATTATCCTGACGGAGAAATCGCTTACAACTAAAAGACAGACCAGGCTACGAATAGAGCTCAAATTTAATATAGAACATCTTTGTACCTGCCGGTAGAAAAGGAGGACAATCTAGTTAACGGATCATGGGGCAATGGTCATGTTAATTTGTCCATTGCTGCTATCCCTTCTTGCAGATGTAGCTTGCAAATGTAAAGGTCAACTAATGCGCAATCCGTCACTTTTCAGTGGCTTCTGGTAGAATTCCCCTAATTATGGTAGGCAGGCGTATTGGTTTGATCACAGTAGGCCAAATCCACAACGAGGTGCACACAGGAAAAAAGTTGGTCTGTGGATCCAGACTGTCAGGAAAAACGATCAAGTAATTATCGAACTAATTTTTGACACCGAGTGCGAGTTCGAGATCGATATCGAGGGGTGATTATGGGTTCTCTCAATCCGAGGTTTTACTTCTAAACTAACCGTTTGCCTTGAGAACTTCATGTTGGCATAATCTTGTCTTATTCTCACCACATGTTGTGTTGAGGGATCTTGTGTTACGTGAAACCCCCAGCCTGCCATCTCTGTCTAAACGAACTCATATTGTTGGAAACTATATGCTGAATATTTTATGTAGACGCGTGGTTATGCTAAGTATCTGTTTTCCCTTTATGAGTTGAAAGCGGTCCGCATTGTCCGGGATCAGAGAATGGATTCCACTTGTACGAATTTGTTCAGAAACGATTCGAGGATTCCTGCGCATTCACGGCTTCCATGTCATATAACCTGGAAGGCAAAACGCACCTTCTTATGACAACATCAGCCAATCCAGAAGTGCATCAATGCTTCTATGTTGATCGCGTTCGGGAAGCAAAGTACTGCAAAATAACATGCAACCTGACCTTCTCTAATGTCGAATTTGGACTACATCATATGGTACGCATATTACAATTTAAGCAATTTCATGAACACTGAAGAATGCTGTATAAAGCGGACTTAAAATTTCTAAGGATCTGCAAGATATACTCAACAGTCGGTGTTACTAAAAGTTAATATATGTGTATGCAGAAGCTAGGTTAACAAGATTAAGCCAAGTTTCTATGGTGGGGCATGCTCGCCTACATTGAAAGGAAATACGCTATGCCTAAAATGTGTCCAAGTCATGTGGAACTTGCACAGAAGGAAAGCTGTTTTGATGCCATCTGACATAAGATTTACTCAGGGATATCTAATTGCATTTCGTAAAGCTGCTCGGCCCATCAGAGCCTCGGTAGGAGAGACGCCATCAGGCAACGCCGAGTTCGGCGTTATCCAGTAGGAAAATAGGAACGCCTGGACTATCTCGTACGTGATGCCCTCCCCACGAGCATTAAAGAGGGTTCCACAAAAATTTTGACAAAACAGTCCGTCTGGTAGTTTGAGTTATGATAGTAGGACAGGAAGCAATATTCCGAAATTTATTCTGGCAACATAAGTCTTCAAACATCGACGAAGTAATCCGAGAGCCAATATCTGAAACCAAGACTTCTTGTAAGCCATGCTGGCTAAAGATGCTTCGTAGAAAGGCCATGGTGGCAGGTGTGGTCGCTACATTCGGCTGAGCAATTTGAGGCCACATAGGGTAGGCGTTCACCAAGATTAGGTAGGCGAATCCGTTAAGTGAACCAGCGAAGTCGATAGGCACGTGTGCCTACGGCTTCTCCGGTGGTTGGTAGGGTATTGGCGACTGACGAGGCTGCATATTTGCAGCCTGCTAAGATCGAGGCCAGTGTGCAACCTGGTGGCCGATGTTGCCGTAGAAACCTGACCAGCAATGCTCGGAGGAAGAAGAGCGGGCGAATATCGCTAGCGAAAGCAGTGGTCGACCAGCAGGTCTGCCCGTATGTGATGGCCTGACGGAGGTCAGGATCCTGTTCAATCGCGCTGATGTCAGATGTCCGCGGTTGTGGCAGAGATGCCCTGTATGGCATCTGTGAGGCGACGGCGCACACCGTCCTCAATCTAAATAGCGGCAATCACAATGTCTTCCTCAGGTTCCTGCAAATTGCAGATGAGGCGAGAAAGGGTGTCAGCAAGACCAAAGTCGGTAGTAGGGCAATAGAGGATGTCGAATCCTGTAACTAAGAAGAATGGTTACACATCGCTAAGGTCGGCCGACTGAACAGACGAGAATGTCCTTCTACGAACTAAAGATTAACGGCGATGGTTTGTGATCCGCCAACAACAAGAAATGGCGACCGTACAACAGTTTGTGGAACTTCTCTGCGGCAAACACGAGGGCTAGATTCTCTCTGTCTATTTTCTCGTATTTCTTCTCCGCAGGGGTTAGCGTTCAAGATGCATACATGCTCGACGTTCAGACCTATCATAAAAAGTATGTAAAATGACGATCACAACTCGATGGTTGGAATCCTTTGCAGCAACATCTATTGGCAGCGTCAGGTCATTGTGCTTGGGCAGCAGATCTGACCTAAGGCGACTTAGGGACGACCTCGATCTGCAAATACGCACCAGTGGGATCCAACTTGACAAAGCGAGTGGCCTCAATCAGCAGGGTAAAATGATTAGCCGGAAACGGCAGTGCATAACAGTTCAGCATCAGCGCGTCATTTGGGCAGGTGTATTAGTCAGCACAAATGCGGATTGAGTCATTGGACTCCTTAACCACAATGATTACAGCGGCCCAATCAGAGTAGGATACAGGAACTAGAACTCACAGTTCCTTCGGACGATTCCGCTAAGCTTCGACAAGTGGTAGCGCTGCATCTGCTTCAAGACGGCGTACTCGTCGGCCATTGCAGTTGGCAACTGCCATACGATGTACGTAACCAGGCTTTTTAATATTAAAGATATCAAAATAAGCGTATAGTCATTTGTCCTGTTTGTATAGCAGCCGACTTTCAGGACGGATAACAAGGATGCACAGTTTCAGGAAATGAGATAATTGCTTCCTTTGAAACCATTACCCTCGTTAATCGATTCCAGTAAATGTGCCAATACAATGCACAAACGAACACCTCCAGTCTGTGCGAGCTGTAGGCCGGAAGGACCGAGTGCATGAAACGCTGTACGCAGTTTTCGGCCCATCAGAGCCTCGGTAGGAGAGACGGCATTAGGCAACGCTAGGTTCGGTGTTGTCCTGTAGGATAACAGGAACGCCTGGACTTTTTTGTCCGTAATCCCCTCCCCAAGAGCTTTCAGGTGGGCTCACCCAAAAATGTTGAAAAAACGATCCGTCTGACCGTTTAAATAATGAAAGTAGGACAGGAAGCGAAAATGCCGAATGTTATGCCGGCGGCAAAAATCTTCAAATATCGCCGGAGTAAACAGAGAGCCAAGATCTGTCCGCGGAAGTGACAGAGATACACTGTATGGCATCTGAGAGGAGACTGCGCACATAGTCCTCAATCGAATTAGTCGCAATCACAATGTCTTTCTCAGGTTCCTGCTAATTGCAGATGAGGCGAGAAAGGGCGTCAGCCTGACCAAAGTCGGGAAAACGGCAAAAGAGACTGTCGAAACTGTGACTAGGAAGAATGGTTATTTATCGCTGAATTCGTCTGGCTTAAAAGACAGGAATGTCCTTCTTCGAACCTAAGATTGACGGCGGTGGTTTGTGATCTTCCAAGTACACGAATTCGCGACCGCACAACAGCTTATGGAACTTCATGGCGGCCAAAACGAGGGCTAAATTATCGTTGTCTATTTGCCCATATTTCTTCTCCGCAGGGGTTAGCATTTAACATTTATACGTGATCGACGTTCAGACCTATCAGAAAAAGTATGTTAGATGACGAACACAACTCCATGCTTGGAGGAATTTGCAGCAACAACTATTGGCAGCAGATCTGAACTTAGCATCGAATTTAGCTGGGCGAAGGCATTTTCGTATTCGGACCACCGGCAACAAGGAGCATCCTTCTGCAACAGACGGTTAAGTGGGGTCCGTACTTTATTCAACGATTGCAGAAGGACCTTTAGTAGCTAATCCGAACACGAAACGAACGAAGGTGCGATACATTCTTCAACGCAGGCATCGTTGCTTGGCCCGAAGGTTTTCAGGATCTGGATGACAACCGGGGACAACAGAAAACGAATCCGAGATGGTCTCTGGAGTCGTGGAAGAATTCGAACTTGTCGGCACGCAGGCCTGAAACCATATTCATTGACGCGTTTGAGTACTGCACACACTCGGTCTTTCAGCTTGCCAGAGGAGCGACCCAGGATCCTGATGTCGTTCGGGTACCCAGCTGTGCCAGGGATGTGGGCGGGCATTGCGTTAATCGTTTGCTGGAGCTGTGCCGGTGGGCTCTTGACACCAATAGGCAGCCTTGTATATTGGAACAGACCGCGGGGAATGTTAATGGTCAACAATTCGCGCGACTCTGGGACGACCTCGATCTGCTGGTACCCATAAGCGATATCCAGCTTGTCAAGGCGAGTGGCCACATTCATCAGGGTGAAAATATCAGCTTGAAACGGCAGTGCATAATAGTTCAGCATCAGCGTGTCATTAAGCCGGTGTAGAAGAAAGCACGAATGCGGATTCAGACATTGGATTCCCCAACCACAATGGTTACAGCGGGCCAATCAGAGTAGGATGCAGGAACTAGAACTCTCAGTTCCTTCAGATGATTCAGTTAAGTCTCGACAAGTGGTAGAGCTGCATGAGCCTCAAGACGGTATACTCGTCAGTCATTGCAGTTGGCAACTGCCATGCGATGTACCTACCAAGGCTTTCAACTAGCAACGATACCAAAAGTAGCGTATAGGCACTTGTCCTGTTTGTATAGCAGTGAGCGATTTCTGCATGATAATGAGCAATTATCTTTTTGACTGTATCCAATTATTCTATCTGTACAAGAGGTCACTTTCAACTCATATATGATAACTTAAAAAATGTTTTTTTTCTCTTTTTACTTCATGCTTTTGTTTAAATATTATAAGCTTTAAATGAATATAATGTGTTCTGCATTTTGAGCTCTCTATAAAATTTAATTGAATGCTTTAGTTTAACGTGAAAACGCAACCAAGCATGACTACATGCGTTCACTTGGATGCTTTTATAAAATTATGCGGTGTTTTATATTCGTCAAACGAATATTTTATTCCCTGTTCCATTAAAGTCACACGAGAGTCTCCTTCGCGTGTATATGCCCAAGGACTCGATCTACGTTTACTTGCAGAACGTTGTCGCAGTAACTGAAATTCATTATGTTTACGGCTCCGGACAAGCTCGGGGAACTGTGCGATCTACGGGACTACAATTCACCAGCTTGAATGATGTCCAGACCTTGCAGCAAACAATGGAAGCACTGCATATAATGAACATGTGGAGACAATCTGCCTTGTCCATGCTTGAAAACCTTGCGACGCAGGCCTTTTTAAATACTCCAGCAGTATCGTGCATTCTATGATTTCATGTTGTATTGTATGTTGGTCATTGTAGTGGAATATTACGTGCTTCGCAATTAAACACTCTTTTACTTTCCGGATACCTGGTAGAGAGTTGGTTTCCTAAGACAAAATCCCAGCCGAGGCGCGATTAAAGACCCAGTATTGCACATTACACATTGTTGCCTACTGAATTACAAACATGAGCGTTGCTTCACCAGCTAATGCAGAGATGCCATTCGTTCGGACATTGAAGACCTTAACGGAAATCTTTTAAGAAGGTCAGTGCTACGGTGCTTTCTACCCATAACGCCGTTACGGTTGGTGTGCCTTCCAATGCGTAGCCATCCATACCAGCTGTTTTGTCTCCTTTATCCATTGACGTTCGATTTACACTTGAATACTTTGCCATCCATATCTCCCATAGGCACAAACGAGCTGCCTTTAGTGGCTACGAAGTCGACAACATCATTTAAGTCCCTGCTCCCCCATAGGGAATTCTTTCGTAAACGGCATGTTCTATAGATGTTCCTCTTCCGTTCTTATGTTTGGTTTACCTTTCGATAGGATGCCATCCATATAAGCAGTTTTATTTCCTCCATCCTGTCAATACGTCATCAATACAAGAAACAGGTTCAACAGTGATGACTTTAGCGGGTAAGACATTGATGACATCCGTTAGATAACCGCATCCCACATGGAAATCTTTCGTAAACGGCAAGTACTAGATATTCTCTGACCCCAAAGCTCGTTAGCTTCCGTTCAACTTTTGATCATTGAACATTCAAAACATCCACAGAGTTGCTTTACCAGCTCAAAAGCATTGCCCTTCGTTCCGTCACCGCAAAACTCCTAGATATAAATCTTTCGTGAAGGGATGTTGTGGGGGTTTTCTTCCCAGAACACGGCTAAATTTAATGTTATTTTCGATAAACAGCTATACGTTCCAGGGGTTTTCTTTCCATAGGCGTCTGGGCTCTGGTTAACCTTAGAAGAAGTTGTCATCAGTACTGGTCATATGTTCAGCGGCTGCGACAAAGATACGGTCTGGTAAGTCACTGCACCCCCACACAGAATTGTTTCATAAAGGGTTTCTTCTAGGGATTTTTTTTCTGTCTCTAGGTAGGTTCAGTTAATCTTTCGATAGGTTACAATCCATACTTAGGGTTTTATTCCCTCAATCTTCTGGCGTTAGCATACACTTGCCATCAGACCTGACGTGCGGTTTCATAGCGTGGCTTTACCGTTAGCTGATGGGATTATCAGGGTTGCTGACACAGAATATGTCATTTGCAATTTCTGGTATAGGTTTCAGTTTTGTTAAACATGTCGCTCTCGGCGACCACCTTTTTCCTGCCACAACTATCGCAGTGGCTTTTATTTTGTGCCCGGACAAGCAATATTTATAAAATTTAAAAAAAACGTCATCCCTTCCTTTTAGTTACCTTTCTCCAAAGGACTATCTTACCTGTTGAAAAATACATCGGTATCGGGCGTTCGGCTAAAACTAAAACGCCTACGCAAAATGTCGAAGAAAGGCATTACAGCCCACACCCAGATCTCTTTGGTCGAGACGGATCCATATGCTGAATTGTGCTTTATCTAAATAAGTCAAGTTAGACTTTCCGGAGACCAACTCGATTTCAATCAGTTTCATCGTCAGCCTCGATAAAGTTTCCCTGACGGCTTTGTTCACAATCTACAAAATTCCTGGAGTGGCTAACAGTGTAGTGCTTGTGTCTTTCTGTAATTAGGGCACTGGATGCCTTTCATTTGTCCATAATGACGGTTCTAAGGGACGGTCTGCTCCTTTTACGTGCTTGAACAAAAACGTTCTTTTTCTGCGAGGAATTGAATATGCCAAGTACCCAGTACCACCTTCGCGTCCCTCTGAAATTGTATTTCATTCTGATGACCATTGTTCCTCAAATCTGCACATCGCTTCCCCGCCCGCCAAGTTGCCTGCTATCCTTCATCATGGCGGCTGTGCATACGTCGCGGCTGCACGATACCATCTGAGTGCTGTGTTAGACTCCAAAGCCACCACTTGTTCAGACTATTTCAATCTCTCATATCTTCCAAACGCCGGCATTATGTTAGTGATGGTAGGCCGGTTGCCACCATGATTAACTAGGATTTATTTGCCTTCCTTCTGTAACATCCGGTGCAGTGACAAACCAAAACAGTCGACACACATACAGTAGATGTGCTAACTCATGAAATGCAAATCAACATTTGGAAATGCGTTCTCGTTTTGAAAAGATAAATTAAGTAGTGTTGTAGAACTAATAATGATGCAGCAAAAATATATAATCATTTAGTGACCACAGGGCGTCGGCTTTCAAAAGAACTTATTTTCGGTAAAAATGACTACTTAAGTAGTATGCAATCATCCCATTGATTTTCAAGGCCCTTGAAAGTTCAATTATATTTCACGGAAAAAATGCATAAAAATATTCATTCTTTCACTTATTTGGTACAAAATCACGTCTTCTTTCAATTTAATGCTAAAACGAAGAGTAAAATTTGGTTTTAAAAACTGTTTCAATTCCCGAATGACTTTGAACCCGATCTGCTTCTACACTTGCATTTAGGGTTTCAAAACTACATGCTTAATATTTTCCGTGTGAGGAAAACCATGTATTTCTCTACAGTGTTAAAAGGAGACTATATGAGTTTTATAAAATAAAGTAGTGTATTTGATCAATATTGTTAACTTTACAAATCACAATCGTAAATGCAGATACATGACGTTTCATGAACGGCCATTTAAATGTATTAAAAAAACTGAAAATTAGAAACTTTTTTAAAACCGAATTATAATCTTCTTTTGAGCATGAAATTGGAAAACTTCGTAATTCTCTACCGATTATGTCAAAGAATCAATATTTCTATTCATGTTTTGCATGAAATATAACTAATTGTCAAGGACTTCGAAAATCAATGAGAAATTTGCAGAAGTCTTATGTTGTCATTTGTTGCAGAGTATGCATCTTGCATGCAGCCGAAAATAAATTCTTCCGAAAGCCGACACCCTGCGGTAACTGGATCATGACAGATTTATGATGCATCATGATTTGTGTTGCAACACTGCTTAAGTAATTTTTTCGAAAAGTGAACGCATTTCCAAATTTTGCTTGTCATTTCATGAATTAGCACATCTACTGTGTTTCTTCTATGCAGCCGCATTGGTTTGTGGCTTGAGTTGGCGGTAGGACTGCGTTTTCCTTGCAGTAAATGTGAGAATTATACTCTTGAGTAGAGAACCTAATTAAATAAAGAATTAATTTTCTACAGAATGTGCGAGAGAATAAATATGTAGATGCGTGTTTTTTTTCATGAAATACAAGTAATTTTTTAAGGGCGTCAAAAGTGAAATGAAAAGTTCATGCAAATTCACGGGTCATTGTTAGAGAAGATAGGTTTTGCACGCAGACGGAAAGATGTTCGTTCGAATGCCGGTCTTCTGAGTTAACTGAACTATTAAATAATCATGTTACATAATAAATAATTTACTGATTGGAACTATGATCGATACATTCTCTGGTAACGGTGACGGCGACAAACTGAATGAATTATTTAAGGTGAAGTAAACATTATCAAGCAATGGTTCCGGCGCAAAAGTGTCCTAAATGACACTCGAAATAGACTTTACATAAAATATGTACATGTGTGTGTTTGCCCTTTACGACAAGTCTAAACAAATCAGTCGCTCATTCGGTCTATTCAAAAATCCTTACTCTAAAGCCACGCAGTAACTTAGATGCCACGGACTCCTAAACAATGACTTGCACACAGATTAGAGACAAACTGTCGCCGACTGAAACCTCAGAAGTTTTCTGACAAATGTTTTGCAAGGATGGAGGCTGGATTAACTAGTGGCCGCTATTTCCTCTCGGTTTCTGTCACACAGTTGCAGTCGCCCTTATTGCAATTTATTTCGTAAATGATTGCTGAGGTTTCAGCCTGCGAGAGGACACAAAACTCGATCAGCATTAGGCCGACAAACACAACATATCACTTGAAATTTCCGATCAACTAAGCACATTTTACACATTGACAATGTAGAGCCGACCAAGCTATTTGAAACGTCAGCATTTAAAAAAACCTGTTCCACAGAGCCCATCTTTTTCTTCTTGTTCTTCACATAATCAATTCGGATATCCCAAATCTGCATTGCGAGAATAACGTGTTGAATATCGCCACATTTTGAGGTCATGCTGCTTCATAAAGAGTAGAACGAAATAGCAGCCAGCTATAAGCATAATTAATGATGCTCGGATACGAACCAACATGGAAGTGCTTAAACTTTTGCCACTTGAATGACGTGTGCCATCATTTTTATCATCAGTACAGAGTACCTGCATTGCCCCCAATCACACAAGGTGGGTTTTCAAAGGGCACTAAGAGTTAGGAAACAGCAGAGACAGCATGGGATCTGAGTAGAATTCATGGTACTGTTTTGCAAACGCCTGCTGACAGCATGCATATATGTTCTTTGGATTTTCACTTTCTGTAAGAATGGCACGGAAGCTAGTAAAATATTTTTCAACTGACAATACCTAAGCTAAGACAGTATCTTAGATCACAGAACAGCAAACTCAAAAACATCTCGAAGCGGACAAATTTTGCACCTGCCTTGTCATCGCGGCATTATCGGAATTGGCGTATTTCTGTTTCAGATCAGTTGCAAAATAAACCCATGCAACAAGGAAAAATGCCGGTAGTGAGCGGAAACCCACATGCAGTACGCATTGAGGTCTGAGATCTTTTTTAACACATCACATCCGATGGTCAATCGTTGTGGATCATTGATTTAAAGG